GGATCTTCCCTCTGACCAATAGGAGCGCGACCCTAAGAGCTGCTCTAGCTCTTTTCCCCCCCTTTGGATTGGCGGTAGCCACTTCATTCTTGCTCCGGTCCGCGCGCGCCTCCGCTACTCACGCGTAAAAGCCACGATCCAGGATGTCTGCAAGCCTCGATCCCAGCGTGCGCTTCCTGCCCGCCCAGAAAGTACAAAGCTTTTGGCCTTGAGACTCGGAGAACAAGGCTAGAAAGTGAGCCGAAAGGATTCTCCGATGTTAGTAATAAAACAATTACAAGTATTTGCAATCTCGACTTGATCGCGGGGCCATGAACTTTCGAATCAATATGGAAATATTTACCGAGGGGACAGCATTCTCGAAGAATCCCCTCTCCCTCCCTCCAGCATCTCCACCACACCTTACTGGATCTTATCCAGGTCATTAGCATGTAAACCAAACCAACTTCCCAAATGCATTAGGCTACCCTGGCTGATAGCGGATGACTTCACTAATCTGAAGAGTTTCAGCCGCACAGGAAGCAGCAACGGAGACCGATAAGGATACTTATGCTAAGGTTTAAGTCTGCTGAATAGTTTTCCACAGCAAAAACAGGCTGACAAACACTGGTACTTAGGGAAGAAGGTTGCAGGTATTGGGTCCTTCCTTACCCAGTTAATTACACCCCACCCCAAAAGCTCAAGATAAAATAAATCAACTGGTACACAAATCTCTCTCTCTCTCTCTCTCTCTCTCTCTCTCTCTCTCTCTCTCTCTCTCTCTCTCTCTCTCTCTCTCTCTCTCTCTCTCTCTCTCTCTCTCTCTCTCTCTCACACACACACACACACACACACACAAGACAAGATTGCAGGCCAGGGGTACTGCAGATTTTTAAAACATTCAAAACCAGTTAATTTTAATTGTTTTAATAGTATGACTGGCAGAAGAGAAAGCTCCCAAATGACCATAACACCGAAGGTACAAGAGTAGACCACAGTAGCACAGTGAAATATCTAGCTAACTAAAGGTATCCCCCCAAACTATACCCCTCAAGGCCCCCCGAAAACCAAAAACCCTCCTTTCAGAACCATGTGTTTAACCCAATGACTGGTTGCATTTCCTGGTTAAGTTCAGTAGACCTCCAGAGGACTGTTTTAATGCAGGGGACAGTGTGGTTCAAAAAGCCTCCTGTCTCTTCGTGCAGGCTGTTTGAAGCTAGTAGCTTTTCTGGAAGAGTGGGCCTCAACATTTAGGAACCCACCAGAGGCTTCACTTGAAAGCAGAAGCTGACTTTGTAGGCAAGTTAAACTACATCTGAACAGTCCTCACGTGTCTGGCCCCTTACCATTGTGAGGATTAATTAGTAGAGCTACTTTTATTACAGGAAAGCATGACAAACTGTGGGTTTTTGTTTGTTTTTTCTGTTTTTGCTAATTAGTGTCTATACTACACTGTGTTTGCCTTTCATATAGCAAGTGTGTGACTACCATGAGTTTACGTAAACCGTATGGCAAAAGCCTTTTTACAGGTACACCCTTTGATGTTTAGAGATGCTGATCACTAGGGCACATCTAGATATGGTGATGTAAATGAAAATGTAGGCTATTTTCAAGGTTTAAAAAAATCCTCACTGAGCAAACCATATGAAGAACCAGGGGAATGTACTGAAAGCGCTTCAAATAAATTAACTGGAATGGCTTATGTTATATGACAAAGTAGATACAGCCAATAGATGAACTTTAATCATGCTGTTGTAATTATAGAGGGTATTTCTATTTACCATAATATACTTCAGTTTTAGAATTATTTTCCTTCAAAAGGAAACTTATTCTACACTTTCACATGTCAAAGAGTTATTTAGTAATAAACATTGTAACAAATTCATATTTATCAACAATAGTGTAAACATCAAAAGTATCCTAAGCCAAAGTGAGGATGGTTTGAAACCTTGAGTCTGGGATATATTAGAGTTGGCCTGATTAAAATATAAGATTTACACCCTCAGTAGATTTAGCTTCTTAATTATGTGTGACCTAAGTTAATATTAGGATTAGTTTCCTTCACATAAGCCTGTATAGCTGAAGTTGAAGGGAAGTACTTACATGAATATGAACAATAGACAGTTACCTGAGCTTTACAATTATTTAGTAGTAATCCATGAGGTGGTTGACCCAGAGTATATTTGCCTTTAAATAACCCCAGATTGGCATTATTTATTTACTTAAATTTACTCAAACTGGTGATACCTGCTTCCTACTTGGTGAGGATCAGACTATTTTCTTCTGGAGGAAGTTGCTCAGTCTAGGTATTGAGAGACTTGGAATTCTCCAATTTCAAGATCTGTGGTCAGGGATGTGACTCAGTGTTAGGACACGAACATCCCTGACATGCTCCAGACCTTTGCTTATGGTCTGAGATAAACACGAAAACATCTTACTAACTGACTAACCCTTCCTAGACCTAGGTTTACTAGGTTTCAAGAGCTCTCCAATTTAGTTCTGTGCTTGAAAAATAAAAGTAATATTTATATCCTTTATAATCTTTATATCCTTTATTTCAGTGAGAATATAGGGATTTGTCCAGTTAATAAAAGGCAACTTTCCTTTAAGAAAAAAGGATGAAGTGATGTCTGGAATTGGTGTGCTATTAACTCTCTCTCTCTCTCTCTCTCTTTCTCTCTCTCCCTGTGTGTGTGTTTGTGTGTGTGTAATCACCAATATTCCTTTCATTAATTACTACTAGTGCTTTATATTAAATATAAATACCCATTAGCGACCCTTCCAAGGATTTATTTAATAATCCATTTAAACAACTGAAGTTACAGAGAGCATGGCGATTGTTTCAGCTCCACAAAAAGCTGCCACTGCAGTCTCTGGTTCGTGCCATCTTACTCCACATCCTTTCTTCTGCCTCCTGCATTAAAGCAGCACTCTACCAGAGCCCTGTGCACTGGGTCTGCCTGCTTTTAAGCCTGGCCCACGCTGGGTGTAGCTCTTGAAGTGAGCTTTAAAAAATTATTTTAAAGTGAGCTGGGGCGGTTGCCACAGCAACCTACCCTGAGATGAAGAAAGGATATAGATTAATCTACCCCTTAAGATTATTCAAGTGTATAGTATTTGTTCTTCAGCCAGAATACTTTCAACACAAATATAATTGAACATGAAAGTTTTAGAAAAATCGGAGAAACATGGTAAGATTTAAATTATACAACACAAACCATATTTTAACCTCTTCGTAGTTGTCCTATGATGATGTACATAACTGCCTAGGAAACAGATTAGTTGTAGTAGACACTTGCAAAGGTGGGCCTCGAAAGGTGACATGGACTTCAGCGGTGTGCCAAAGGGCTGCTTTTATTACGCAGAGGAGAATGTTAACCGTATCACTGTCACTCCTGACAACATTTTAAATACTTTAAAGGAACTGGTGCTTTCACTTGTATGGTGCGTTTGTAGTAAATGAGAAATGTGAACACTCACCACCTACACTCCTTCACGATCACTGCCATTTGCCTCCCATGCTTCACTTCATTTCTTCAGAGGTTACTTCACAGTTTTCAACTCTGTTTTTGGCACCTTAAAAACGTGTAAGCATAAAAAAATAGTTACTTTCTCTAAAGCTGACATTACAGTAGATTAGGGTAGGTATGGTTTAAAAGCTTCCGAATTAACAGTGTTTATTACTTTAAAGCCAAATTGGCTAGATAAGAATTTAAATGATCAACTGGGATAGTGTCCATAGCATTTAAACATAAATGATGGCATATTTCTAAAATTCCACAAACTCACTAGATGCAGCTTTTTCCCAAGCGGACCATACAGTTTGTGGACTGAGTGTGCTAAAGGAACTGTAATGTACAAAGGATTTGATTTATCAGGCAAAGGTTTGATTGTATGCTTCATCTCGTGAACAGTGAGCATATTCTTCTCCTCACTCTTGTACCTTTGATTTTACATCTGATAAAAATCACCATAAAAAGTAAAGTAAAAAACATCATTACTCATACTAACAAAATTTGTCAAATTGGGAGATATTTGTAATAATATCTAAGTTGATGAAAAGGCACATTTTAGGTATTGCTTAAAGCTCACTTGAAACACTTCGGGACTAATGATGTGGGTTCAGTACTGTGTATGGATTCTATTAGTCACAATACCTTATTCTTCCTAGCTGTGTTTAGCTGTATGGAGCAAAGACAAGCACTTCTGTGCTCTGATCTCTGACTCAGACTAGCTTTCCTTGACTTTGGTAAACCAGTGAATCTTTCCTTGGCTTCAGAATAGGACCAGTCCCACTAAAGGACCAACCACGACACAATAGATCACAAGGGCCAATATCCTTTTTCCAGGTTGTCGTAGCAGGACTTTCCATAGTGAGGAGTCATCTAGAAAACCTCTTCATATGGGCTGCCATTCACATGATTTATTTTTATTATATTGTGTCTGAGTCAGAGAAGTGAAAACTTGGGCAGGATTTGTTTTAGCGTTGTGCTCATTGAATTTGCATCTTTCAAGCCCAGGCCCACCAGGCCTAAGTCTCAACTCATCCTGGTTCTCAGAACCAAGTTCTCTGGCCAATCCTTTTCTTCCACTTCGGCCTGGCTTTAATATTTATTAAGTGGGGATCGTGATACACATATCTCGCAGGACCTCTTTACCCTACTCTTCATGAAATAAAATACACTTAATAAAACCCCAAAACTCTCCTCTACAAACTTTAATACACTTCTTCTATCAGTAAGTCCAAATAAGGCTTGATTGGTAATTTGCTTGTGTGTGGCTGATCGAAAGCATCCACGGAGACAGCTAAATTTAATGGGACTTTACATTTACTCTCGCCATTGTTAACTGCTTATTGAAACACTGGTTCTACTCCATTTCTTGACATATCACAAGAGACCTGAAATTTAAGGAGTAAGATAGTCACACTTCCCCTTTTAACCGTTTCTTCTAGAGTCTTTTCGAGGGCTGTGCTCTTTCATTTTACAAGGTCGTTACCACGGGATGCGGAGCAAGTTTGGGGTTAAAAATTTCTCCCGGCATTTTGGTACCCACTTCTTTGTTTGGGAGGCAGAGGGCTGGGATTCAGTCCGCAGGGCCCCTTAAAGAGCAGACTAGGGACGCCTTTGGTTTCAGCAGCTGAGTTATTGATTGTAGGGAGCAGCAATCCCTCCGGCTGGTTTGTGTTGAAAGCGGACCCGTTGGCTAGGCGGACTGGAGAGGCGCAACAGCCGCAACGCCACCCAATTACTGCTGGTCCTCCCCTCCGACATGGCTTTGCCCTCCTATCTGCTCTTTCTCCGCGGGTCGTTACTTCCTCCCACCCACTTTTCTCGTGGCCGCTGGAGCTGAGGGGGTGGGGACTCACTGCCCCGCGAGTTTCTGGAGCTGCCAGGCTGCTAGTGTGTGTGTGGGGGGCGAGTGTGCCACGTGAGTGCTCCCCGGGCTGGGCGTAGGAGGCCAGGCCCTCCGACGGACCTGCAGGGCCTGGGCGCGGAGGGGGTTGGGCGTGCTGAGTCCGGGACAGGAAGGGGTGTGCCGGCCTGCATTTGGCTGGAGAGGAGATGTCTCGGCTTGGGGGAAAGAGACGGGGGCTTGCTGATAAAGATGGAGCGTGATGGGCTCCGGGGAATGGAGGAGGGCGCAAAGGCAGTGGGGGTGCGGTGGCGGCGCTGGTGGAGTTTCTCTGCTGCTCGGGTTGTTAGGATCCCGAGAATATTTCTTCTGAGGAGCTGGAGATGAGCTCTGTGAGGTTCCATAATCACCGGTGGGGGGTGGGGTGGGGTCAGTAAAAGCAGCCCATCACCCACAAACGGCGCACAAAATGCTCGCAGAAGATGGGCGTTTCTGGTTACTTGATGCGCTCCAAGCATTTTGCAATCCAGGAGAGAAATAGGGACTTTGGGCATGTCCAGTCGCCCTGTCCTATAGAGTCCCAGATTTTTAACAAATCGAATAGACCAATAATAGGAAAGGATCAGGGCTCAGAACTGGATTTAAACCTTAAGCACTCAGGATCTGCAGAAGTATTTTAAAAACTAACAGCCAACCTCTAACTCCTGCAGCTAAGCTGCCTTTGTGCCTATGTGCAAGTCTTGGCACAGCAAAGGTCACAAAGTAAAAAGAACTGCGATGCTAAGGGGAATGAACAGCAAACACAAATGAGAAAAGTTCCTTTTCTCCGGCACAGCTTTCGTTGTTTGTTACCACCTGGAAACAGTGTTGGAATATTCTGCAAAAATAACCATGGGGAAAAGGAGACACTAGGGATGTTATTCGCCTGTCTAGGACTGCTAGACACATGTGGCTTCTCAAGTTAATTAAAACTAAACCCTGTCCGTATTTTAACTGCTCAATAGACTCATGTGGGCAGTGGAAACTTTGGAGTAGGGAGATATGGAATATGTCCACCTCGACATGGAGTCATACTTTTAAAATCCTTTATGTGTTCAGTGGTGGTGGTGCATGCATTTAATACCAGCAGAGACAGGTGGATCTCTTAGCTCAAGACCAACCGGGAGGGAGTTCAGGACAGCCAGAGCTACACAGAGAAACACTACCCCCATAGCAAACAAGCAAAACAATATGCGTTATGTTTGATACCAGCCTGATTTCAGGACAGTCTCCATTTCTATTACATGGCAGCAGCACAAAACGTCTTAAAGTCTGAATTTCAGTGGCTTTTATGCTGACAAAGGTTCTGGCAAACTCCTAGTATGTGCATCTTTTTGTTGTTTTTAAATAAGAACAGCAAGTCAAGGACAACAACTCAAGAACAGAGATGCTAACTAAGCGACCCACAGCTGTAAATTTGGAAAAAACGCTTAAGTCCTCTGATAGGGCCCGGGATCCTGTCTGCTGGTTGGGACACCATGGCTGGCTTGGCTGTGAAAACTGACTAGAGTGGAAGGTGTCGACAGATTTTAGGCAGAATCGTCCTTTTACAAGAGAGGGATGCTTCTAAGCATTCTCCCCAGAGAAAATTCCATTTAATAAAGAGTAAGCTCCATGAGGAATCACAAGGTCTCAAAAACTTAAACTGTATGACCAAACAGCCAAAATGTGTTTTCAAAGAGAACAAATGGGCTGTAGTTTTACTTGAACTTAAAACTCATGCAGAACTAACATTATACTTTTAGAACAAGAGGTAAGAAGCAATATTAAAGTCAAAGATGAAGATGTGATCTGAGGTGAGACTTGCTAACAAAGTATAATAATCTTTCTCAAATTTGATAAGATATCAAATTCACTGATTTCACAGGAGGAGGATTTGATCAGAAATGCTAAGAACATAAACAAAATAAAATTGTAAGTATTACTACATAAGATGTGTAACTAAGCAGCGTTTTCTGTGAAATTTTAGATGCAGCATAAACTGTGTTCTTCAGTAAGTAGTGAAGTGATTTATTTTGCAGTAATTGTTCTCTACATTTTTTGTTGTTAGTTGAGATTAATGTTGATGGTAATTCTGCCTATTTGTGGTAGTTGACCCTTAATGAAAATGGTATCTGTTTACATCAGCATATTCACAAATGGGAAATAATTTAAAAATAATAATTCTTTTGAATGTTGGATTGATCCATACTTGAGTCATCATGTTTCTCTTGTCTATTTATCATTTGCTCATGCTTGAAGGATTCTTCTCACACTACCTTAGTCCATGACCCTATAAGAAACATCTCAGATCTTTGCGGATAAGCGAGAAGGCCTCAGCCTCCCTGTAGCTAACAGATGCAAAGGCTGATGGGACCCGAAGAGAGTACTGCCAAAGCCACCTGACAGTCCCACAGGGGAATCAATCACTCACATGCTGAGCTTCTCCATGATTCGGCTTCCTCACCTATAAAATGTTGAATATTATGTGATATCCTCCTTGATTGCTGTTAGGAATGAAGGAGCTAGTCAACATGCAATAGGGATGAGAAAGCAAACCGTGTAACTCGTGTGAACAATTTCTACTTCCACAGGAGGAAGTTCCCTGTCCACTCCCACTGTGGCTGTCACAGAGAAAGAGGTAGGTCATCAGAGGCGTGAGGACTGATTCAGGATGCGAATGGGCCTTGGACTGTACCTCTGAAGAAGTGAAAATCTCTTTTGACATAAAATTCTGTTTTGCTGGGTCAGGTTGACTTTTTTGCAGGTGTGTAGTCTCTAGGCTACTTTTAGCCCCCAAGTCAGCTGCTTTCTGCTTGGTAACTGCCTGGTTGCTGAAAAGGCACTGGACACTCCAAGTCCATCCTCTTTTCACCCCAGTTGACCTTGGGAATGCAGTTGTCAGCCAAGAAGACATTGATAGCCCCAGTCTCCTGCTAGCAGAATTCTTTAGGGCAGTGCCTGCTCAGACTGTCTCCTGATGTCATTCCAAATGTCTGATGGCCATCTATGGCAACTGGGCTGGGCACAGGCCTCCTGGGAAGGGGGAGCTCATGGAATGCCTAATGGAGCCTTCTGTTCAAGAGGAACCTAGAGGCCATGTTCTGCTGTGTGTGTGGTAGATATCACTGCTGCATTATTCTGGGTTATGGAATATAAAAAACAGACGTCATAGTCACTTCGGATTTTAATAAAGTCTGGGATGGAATATATATATCTCCTTGATTGGTATAAGTATATTACAGAAAAACAAACAGACTCAGGACATTAAAGACTTTGTGTGTGGTGTACATGGTAACATTACTTATTGAGATCACTCAAGTAAGAAAAAGGTGCCTAGAAAGTAGGGATTAGTGATGGTAAAATATATGTGCTCTGTCTACCTTTCTGTTCAATTTCCAATGATTGTTATTCTATTGAAAGGAGAGCTTAGATTATTTTTAAATATTTTAGTTATAGCCTAAAAATTTAAGCTAAGCAGAATAATTAAAATTATTTGTTGAGATGGAAAGAAATATGCAAAAACTTATTGTTCCAATAGGTGATAATTCTGGGTAGATTTAAAATAAATACATCATAATAATGCTAATATTTTAACTTTCTGAAAAGAAAGAAAATTAATTTTCATTGTTTGGGATGAAAGTTTCCTAAATTATTTTGGAGTAGGGTGAGAATGAAACCTAAAATGCAAACAAAAGAAAGAAAACAAAACTTATTTCAGTGATTAAAAGCTGTCTGCTTGTTGACTTACTCATTGAGATAAAGACCCAAACCATCGGGCTTGATTGCTTATTACTTTGCTAAATTTATTTCAAATCAATTGTATTCATAATCTAAGGGTAATACTTGGGGTACATATGCAAAAATTCAAAATTCTTAGAATTTATATAAAAATAAGTATGTTCAAAATACTTGGCATTTCATGGCCACTTGCTATTTTTGAGATTGTATTATAATTATTCCTTTTATCCAAGCAACAACCTCTTAAAGGGCTTGTATTATTGTCTTTGTTTCATAAATTTTAAGAATAAAAGCTTAGATAGATGACTTTGTCTGCCCAGATAACCCATAAATGTCAAAGGACAGGCAAACAGACTTAAAACTTTGTTCTTAGCTCTCCTACCTCTGTAAGGTCTGACTCAGCTATAGTCATACAACTGGAATAAACTTCAGAAACTTATGCCTACTTGCAGGTTGCTTACTTCACAGAGGCTATGCCAGGCACGAACCACTCACAGATGCTTTTGCTTGAAGCAGTTACGTGTCTCCTTGGAAATTTGTTCCATAATCCTAACAAGCAAGCATGTTAGTGCTGGGGAAGCTTAACTGTTAAGTCTGAACATTTTTTTTATTTTGTTAATAGTAAATCCAAAGAACTCTCACAGAATCAACTGACCTGGGCTCGTAGGGCCTCATAGAGACTGAACCGACAACCAGGGAGCCTGCTTGGGACTGGCCTAGGCCCTCTGCACATGTATTACAGTTGTGTTATGTGTAGCTTCGCCTTCTAGTGGGACTCTTAACAGTGAGAGCAGGGTCTGTCTCTGACTCTGTTGCCTGTTTTTGGAACCCGTTCTTCCTACCTGATTGCCTCATCCAGTAGGAGAGGGGGTGACTAGTCTTGCTGCAGCTTGATATGCCATGGCTGGTTGATATCCATAAAAGGCCTATTAGATGGGGGAGGGAAAGAAGGGATGTGGGGCAGACTGGGAAGGAGGGGAGAAAACTGTGGTCTAGATATAAAAGTAAATAAAGAAATAAATAAATTAAAAATTAAATCGAAACCACATTTAGTAAATAAGGTGAACATTAAAGTTTGATTATTAAGCCTCAAATATTTGCTATTTGAATAATAAGCACAGCCTTTAAGGGCAAAGGTTTGCTGTTCTGTTCAATGCCTGCAAAGTATGAAAATGTTTGCAGGTTGGTGTGGCTACATACTTTGTGACTTTGTGTGGCCACATATATGTAACTACAAAGATCTATATCAGATGGATGGATTTATAGCAATAATCATCTTTCTGAAGAATTTCAGAAATGTGAGCGGTGTTTTAAGGAAGAGATTCTTAGCACTACATGAGAAATCGTTTGCAACTTTTTGATTCCCTTTGCCCTCTTTAGATGGTCAACTGATAATTTCCATCATCTTCTCTCCTTTCTCTTTTCTTACCCTTCCCCACTTCATGCCTTTGATCCTTTTGACTGCAGTGCTCATTTCCAGTTGTGAATTTCTCCTCAGTTGCCAATACAATAAAGCTGCTCTCGTGTTAGCACTAACCATTTTTTTCTGTGCAAAATTAAAGTTTCTATTTTAGAATTGTGGAATACTACTAGTAATTTTTTTCATTTTTTAAAAATCACCACAGAATAAATTGCCACTATAAGGAGCTTGCTCTGATGATATGGCCATATAATTTATATGCTCATCTTTTGTTATCCATAACTCTAATGATTATTCACAATGAACAAAAACAGTGCTTGTGTCAGGTATTGTCTGTGAAAGATTTATATGTACCATCCATATATTCTTAACTCAACCTCACACAACTGTGGGAGTCTAGTTTGTGTAGCCTATGGCTATAAAACAACTCACCCAGAAGAGAATTAAGCCTTTAGTTTCTCTAGATCAGCAAAGATTAATTGTATATTCTTACGGTTAGTGAATGCACACATGCTTACTTAGAGTAATCATTGTCTATGGATTTTCCCAAAATAGCTTTCCCGAAGAATCAGCGGAAGCCATTTGGTCATACTTAAGACTATGTTACTTAGAGTCTTAAACTAGTATAAGATTTGAGTAAGACTAGGGCTTTGTTAATTTGAGGAACAGTTAACATTTGCCAGTTCAAATAAAAAAGTGAGTAAATTACTGAAGCACTATAGTGCTTAACATATTAGACAATGAGTAAAAATAAAAGCAACATTTATAGCTATAGTGATAAGTTGCTGATGGCCTCTCAGTACATGGGGTCAGCATGCATGGATTTTCTTACTGCTTTGGAATATGAGAGGTGATATTGCACTAGAGAAGGGTTAAAAGGATAATGACCAGCCCAAATGACAGTTTATTCAAGTGCCTTAGAATCATCAAGGATTAAAACCTGATGGTCTGAATCAATTCTTGTCCATGAATTCACAATCTCAGGAAACTTCATTTTAAAATGTACTTAATTTCTTTAAAAAAAAACAACCACAAAAGGTAAGATGGAGCCTCACTGTATAGGCCTGGCTGGGGTGAAATTTGCTGTGCAGAACAGATTGCCCTCATATGCTGACAGAGCTTGGTAACAGACTCCAGTGTGCTGAGATTATAGCTGGGAATTGCTATGCCTGGTTTAGGAATCTTCATTTTAAAAGGCTCCTCAGTAATCAGGTATGGCATTTCCCTATGATCCAAGCATTTGGAAGGCCAAGGCAGGAGTATTACATGGAGTTTTAGGCCAAACAGGACTTCATAGCAAGATATAATGTCTCAAAAAGAAGGGGAAAAAGGAAAAAAGGAAGTGAAGGAGAGAAAAGTCTTGTTGCTACCCACTTACGTTTTGTTATATGTCCTTGCCTGTGGTAAGGATGAGTAAAGTCTTCCTAATGGCATAACCCTTCCTTCTTTCTGCTTCTTATTCTTTTCTCTCAAACAGTCCCAAAGTGTATGTTCTCCTTTTGAAACAGTAAGGATGAGAGTTCAAGATTAAATGAATCTTTCCAATACCCAGTTTAGTTTAAGCTGTAAACAAGTAAAAAGGCACACTACACATAACATACTAATTAGAAATTGCTTATTAAGAAGCTGATTAAGCAACATGGGGACATAATTTACTTTCTATCTATGCTTCTATTAATGTGTGTATCTATGAATCTTGTTTTTATTTTCTGAAACATAAGCACTTTATTTATTTCCTCTCTTCCTTCTTCCAACCTTCCCATGGATCCCCTTGCTCTTTATCAAATTCATGGTCTCTTTTTCTTTAGTTATTGTTGCATGCATATATGTACACACACACACGCACACACACACACACACACACACACACACACACACGCACACACCAACCACCTTCCTAAATATAACCTGTCCCAGTCTGTATAATGTTACTCATAGGTATGTTTTCAGGGCTGACTTCTTGGTACCAAATGGAGACCCAATTTACTTAATTTATGGTTCACTCTTCTTTTTAACTTATCTGAGTGAAAACACTAATCTTTTCTTGGATGGAGAACTGGGCCCTCAAAAAAACCCTATAAAGTGGGTATCTAATGAAGAGATATTTAACATTAGGGTAGAACAATTCCCAGACATGCATACTTTGGTTACTGCCAGTTTCTTGTGAGCCTAAACTTCCTGAAAATAAGACTAGCACTTGTCTCCAGTGACTTGAGTAATAGGACTGCTCAGTAAGGAAGTTTTCAGGTGTTCTTATGATGTTGATAATTAACTCTGCCTGTCCAGAAACCGTAAAAGACCGCCACAAAAATCACCAGCACCTGCTACAGGTTGATCAGCCTTTCAACCTCTCTTCATGTCTATTGCTGCGATCACTCCTCCCTCCATTTCTAATGCTGCCGTCATCATCTCTTGAGTTCCAGCATCTTTAGCCCTTCAGAATGGGACTCCTTTGATGGCCCTGTTTCTTGCCGCAATGTCTTTTTCTCTCTTTTTGTCTGACAAAACAAGCATTAATTCGCTTATAACAGTTATGTGTCATAACTACTTTTTAATTTAAATTGTTCCTGCCATTTCATGAAACTGAAAATAGTAAATATTCATTGGATTTTCATCCAATTCAGCTGTGAGTGTGCATGCTAAATTTCAGAACTATGTGTAGCAATGTAAGGTTGAGGGTGTGACCTTTCATGTAGTGTAACAGGGCAGCCTCATAGATGCTTACTCAGTAACATTCTGCGGAATAATTTCACTTTGCCCTTTAACTTCCCAGATCTACGCCGCTCTGAGATTTCCTGTATTTGAAGTGCTTACAGCAACTTGGAGAAAACAGGACATGGCATTGCAGCTAGGATTTCAACAATGGCCCAGAGACCTTTGGGGACACCTCCCATGAAGCAAAGAGAATTCTCTCTTGGTCAGCTGTAACTTCTTTCCTTGTGATTTGTATGTTACTAACCCTGAAGCTCTAATCCATTTACTTGTGTCACAGAGATTAAGTGACTGCTTTTCAGTCACAAAAGTACACAGCAGTGAGACAGAGAGGAGGACTCTGATCTTCCACTTCTGCCCCGGTGTCCTTTGAACCATGTTCCTCAGCTCTGGACAGAAATACTTGTGATCCTTTAGAAGCAGACAAGGGACAATTTGCATTCACAAAAAACTCCTTTGAGATGCAAGACTAAGTTGACTCGGATCCCTTGCAATTTTGCATATTTTCTTTTGACACCTCTGGTTTCTACAATAGTTGTAAATGGATGCTATTTCCTGAATAATTTGCTTGCAATTCATTTACATGCTGTTATTGCATATGTCAAATGATCTGTTGATTACTGTCTGATGTTTCTTTGGACTACAATGTAATAAAATAGACAATACACACACACACATAATTCATTTGCTAAATGGCAGTACTAGTCATATAACTATTGATTACTTAAAACCAATCTTTGGGAGAGAAACAGTAGCCACCATTTTTATTCATGTCTTATACCCATATTTTAAGTTTTCCCCACTTTTGTTTTAGTAATTTGTGTGTCTATGTATTAAAAACTCCACTTCTTATCTTCAAATACCGGTTTAAAGTTCAAGTGTAAGATACATTCCTTGAAAATTAGAAAGTGTAGCTTAACCTAAACATTTTCCTTTCTAGAGGGCAGAAAATGAATATTTATGTATTTTAATCTTGATTGAATCAGTTTATTATAAGGGATCATCAACAAACATATCAATAATAGTTGATATAGTTAATAGTATCTGACTTGATGTGCAGTACTTACATTAGTACAGTATTATTGAATAGTATGACCTCTGAGACTGCAAGGATGAAGCCATTGGGCAACATTGTAGATTTTTACCTAGCACATACACACACAGACACACACTCACACACAGACACACTCACAGACAAACACACATAGACACACACACACAGACACACACACACAGACACATGCACAAACACACAGACACAGACACACACACACCCAAGTTAGCTAATTGTTGAATCAACTTTTAAGTATACTGCATTGTGTACTATACATATGTTTATATTTTGGTATGTTTGGTATTTTTAATTCATCTCCAATTTTTCAGAAAGACCAAACTAAAACTTTTTATTTCTATATTAATTTTCTAAAACATATGATTATTTAAAACTTCTGTTATTTCAAATAAACTTGTATTTCCAATTTCTAAATATATTAGAATGATGAAGATATCACCAGAAGAGCTCAAAATGGACATGTTTTAAGGTGTTCATGTTCTTATTGTTTTTGCACTATATTTTAACATGCTCTGGTAAACTACACATATATGTATATATGTATATTCATACACACACACATATATATTATATATATTTCTGTATCAGTATTTTTTACTGACTGAAAGCAACTTTACTCACGTAACTTTTCCCATGTGATTCTTTTAGTTTGATAGTTTGATTGTCCACATTTTTTGAAGTCACAGAAACCTGAACATGGAATTGAAAAACAAGCCCACATTTGTGTTCATCTCCTCAGGCAGAGACTGAGTTAGTTTCAGATTTATTCTTTTATGGAATGTCTTTAAAATGAGAAATTGGAGTTTCAAAGCATTTCTCACCTGACTTATTTTTTCTTTTTTGGTTTGTTTTTTTTGAGACAGGGTTTCTCTGTACTGTTTTGGAGGCTGTCCTGGAACTCGTTCTGTAGACCAGGCTGTCCTCGAACTCACAGAGATCTGCCTGCCACTGCCTCCTGAGTGCTGGGATTAAAGGTGTGCTCTACCAATGTCCGGCCTCACTTGACTTTTAAGTATTTCACGAGCTCAAAATTAATATGATCAAGGATCGATAGCTATCTTTGATAGTCAGACAATGTTACCTGAGTGCTTAGTGTTTTGATCGGCGTGTACAAACCTTGAACGTTCCTTCAGGGAAATTAACTCCTTCTAGACGTGAAGCATGTATAGACAGAAGAGAAATTAGACAAATAAGAAGGAATTGAGAATAAGTCCATGAGGGAGGGATGGTACCCTTTTATTTGTCTTGTCTGTAGTTCAGGTATTCTGATTTGTAATCTTACTGGCACCAGGTATTATAAACAGGGATGAGTAATATGCCATTTTTATCTTTACTGAGTTACTTCTGGCTTGTGGACAGATGATAGCTGTCAGTCAGGTGTCTGGTCAAGGAGGAGATACATATAAAGCTGCCAAAGTATTTTTTGTTTCTTTAAATACTTACAAGTAAACTCTTTTACATGGAAATGCTGCATGTACTTAAATTAAATAGATGGTTAGTTACCATGCAGATTATTAATTATTGTTATTGTTAATTACTGGAAGAGCTAGCAGCCTTCTTATGAATGTAGAAAATGAGAAGAAAAGCCTTTTGAGTGGCTTTCTGAAGCAGGAAAATGATTAATTTTCCAACATTGAAATAATTATCTTTACATTATGAAGATACATTTCAGGTAATCCTTTATAAAATGCATGGGGCAAGTGTGAGTCACTGTCACTTTAATCTGAACTCTGTCACTAAGACTTGTTAAAGGAACCAATTCATTTACATGAAAGTGTTGGCATGGGCATTTTGTGACGTAGTGTTGAAGATTTCTTAGGGAGGACAAACATATCACTGCATGGTAGCAGGGATTTATGACTTCTGATAACTCAAAGAAAACATGGAATTTTCTAAGCCCGAAATCCTGGCAAAATGAAAATGATAAGTTTTAGATATTTTGCATAGTTAGACTCTACCTAATATTTTTAATAGGCTCTGCTACCCCTAGAAAGTTGACAGTCATAAAAAACGTTTGGCAGAAGTTTTTATGTTTCTTTATTGCTGCTTCAGTGTCTGCTAGTGACAGGTGTGATAAATGTATCCAGTACTAATGCACTCGAGAACTTAATAAGTGTAATTCTGAAGCAGGCCTAACAGTTTTCACCTTCAAAAGCAAGGGCTCTGGTACTTTAAGAACACAGCATTTAACAAACTAGGAAAATTATCTTTTTATACATGTCTGATTCTTTGAGAGGCTGATGAGGATTTTTAAAAGTTCAACAGATCTGGTGATTCCTGTGTCAGAGTCAGCAATGAAGAGTGACAAAGCATTTGTGAGAAAAAAAGCAGTACAAACCACTATATACCTTAAAAAGGGGGGTACGAATCAAATAAAAATACATTTTTGATAATCTGAAAAACAATCTGTCCATAATACTTTAAAATACAAGGTAAAACTGACCTTTAATTTTAAAAAATGTGTATTCAAGAAATGTCCATAGATGACACTATTATTTTAACTATTATGTTTTTGGCTGGATTGACCACTTTTGACAATTTAAAAGTATTTTTCATATTATTAAAGGTAAATTAAGCCTGTCAAAAATATTCATAAGTTTATACATTTCTAAACCACACTGGATTTTAAAATGTGTTTGATAAGATAGTCATTAACAAAAGCCAGATTTTATATTTTTCCCACTTTACAAATACGAATTAAACATGTAGATTGGAAATTATTTATGGCACCATCAGAATAAAGCATTTGCTTCATAGTCTTAGTAATTCATATTTGTAGAAGCTTTTCTCTTCTTAAGTACCAATGCTACCCCCCACAGCCCAGAAAATTGATTTTAATGCATAATAATTTATAGCATTCTTGATCAATGTATGCTGTTGTGTCTTTTACATTCATTAACCCATGTTGTTTGTGAATATGGAATTTGCTTATGAAAATGGTTTCATATGTTTGCTATGTATAGTCCTTAGCTCTGAGCTGCTTCCTTGCTTAAATAAATGTTTTCAATTTGCTATAATACAACAATTTGTAGAGAAATGCTGTGAAGCATAGTTAAAAGAATGAGTCCTTGAAATAGAATCACTTTTTAAAAATATGTCCTAACATGTGGTCTCATTTTTCCTTCTTTTGCATTAATTAAAATCCTGTTCTGAAAAATATTTTTACCCAACTTTTGAATTCACAAAATAAAAAAATACCAAAATATATAAATGTTCTAATTTTGGAAATAAGTGATGTAAAAACATGCTTTATTATTCCCTTGATCATCTATTCTAAAGATCTCATTGTTTTAAAAAAATCCCTGTAAAATAATGAGAAAATTTTGTTCCTGTTAATTATTAATTTTTCTGTTCACTGAGATGTTTTAATCATATTAAATAAAATCAACTCTGTATTCCAAACATATTTCTATAATGTACACACACTTACATAACAGCACATGGGACTTTTGAGAAGAATACATACCATTTCACAATTTGATTTTGCAAAGTTTTTGGAAAATGACATTTTATTCAAAGATTATGAGAACAACATTAAAATGAAACTGAGGTGCCTAATGTAACATGTGTGATTGATGCTTTCGTTATCCTCACATAGTAAAGTAGCAATCATAGAGCAATACTAAAACTATAAATTATTATTTTACAAAATCATCATTTTATAATTTCAAAAATTGTCAAATGTTATGGGCTCTATTGTGTGCACAAGCAAACCCACTGTTAGGTATGTTGGGTCTGATTCCAATGCTCTCATCAATTTTGTGGATGTAGGTACCCCAGCAATGTCTCCTCTAAGATAACAAAACCAACTTTTAGAGATTAAAAAAATACATTTTGGCAATTGAAACTCACCAGTGCCGTTCTGCTTCTCCAGGAAGTTGTACCCGTCAGCACCTGCTGAGGGCTTTGTTGTCCCAACTCTGACAGGTAAATAATTCCCGTAGAATAAAGCCAGACCAGCTGGCTTTGAAGAGAAACCCCCCAGTTTGGGCTGTGTTTGCCTCCTCTCCTTTTCTATGAAGACGGAGGCTTTGCCCCCTTGGTCGTCAAGCGGTGAGCTGCGTGACGCCTCTGCACAAGTGTCTGGCAGGCCGAAGAGCACCTGTTCATGTCACTCGGGGTAAATTTAGCTGTAAAGGTATCATTGACAACCAGACCTTTGTCAGTGCTGGCAGAAGAACACAGAACTGCTCTCGCCCACCCCAACCCTCTACACTGTTAGTTCCAATGGAAAATATCCAATCGGAAGTCTGTCCAAAATCATTCCTAAAAAATGAAATTGCTTTCATATGGTATAAAAAAAGTTAAGTTTCCTCATTTCACACAGGCCTTAAAATTACATTTCCAAGAATAATCTTGGAACAGGACAAGTTTTTGTTCAATTAATTGTGGCTGGAAACTTTTTAATGGAAACATAGCACACACTTATTTCATTTCAGGTTATTAAACTGTGTTAAGCACTGAACTAGTTGCCATTCTTTGCCACAGCTCATTTGCTCTCTTCAATCCAAAGAAATATTAGAAGGTTAAAACTTATCACATAGGAGGGATTAATCACCCTCCCAAGTTAGAAAGCCTGAAGCTCCAAGAGACTCTGTTGTCAAAACTGGATGGTCATGGCACTTAAGCTATTGGGAATACAGGATGCTACTGCACCACTTAAAAATGGAAACTCATGTCTGTAGAAACCCTTGATATGTGAAGCTCCCTATGGCTGGGGTTCTTTCCTGGTTGGTTAAGGTAAGGACATTTAGATTTCTTTTTCATAAATCCCATTGAAAGGAAAAGACAGGCAAGCAGTGTTCACTGATTTATCTGGCACAAATACAACAGCCCAACTGCAGAGAGCTAAGGCAGCATGCTTGGACGAACCCTTCTGAGCTTCCACTCCAACAGCCATGATTTCTTAGCAGAGTTAACGCGAGTTGGGCAAAGTACCTGCTCTACTATACTATTGCTGTTTACAAGGCTTGGGTGTGATGAGAAAAAGAAATCTGGGTCAAAATAAAAAATGCTTTGTAAAATAAACAAGGTTCCTATTTACTTACTATGTATAAACAGCCACTCAACAAGCCTCATTTCTCTGCAGGGCACCACTTTCAGATAAAACATAGACCTGAATGGCATCATCCAGTATCCAAGGAAACCATGTAAGTACCTCTCTCACTGTGTACTTCTCTTATTCAGCGTTTAAAAGCTAGCTGAGTACTGAATAAGTGAGTGTTTTTATTTAATAATTATACGGGTGGGACTTTTTAGGAGCTTGCTAAAAAGAAACAGGTCCTTGATTGTTATGTGCGTCATAACAAACCCCTTATGTTTCCTCATATTTCATAAAATTATGTGTTTAGTCCCAACCTCTCCACCAGTTCTCATTCTTCTGTACAACACAGCTCCTCAGAATCTTAACGAGCTGTGTTTCAAACTTCTCCATGACCCACCAGTATTTGGTAAGCCACGTTTCAAAGGCCTTGTGTCAGGAGCTGTTACGGAGGCAGAATGGAACGTTCCTAAATTTTAAAAACGATAAAAAAGTTTAGAGTGATATTTCACTGGTTAACAGTTATGTATTTGGTTTCACTCTTTGTTGAAGGATGATGAAGTGAACAAAGTGAGCTCATGTATCTAACTCCAGCAAAGATTCTTGAAAGTGAGTGCAATTACCAACATCCAACTATCTATTTTAGGGAAATGCTAGGAAGTTAATGTATCTCTATCCTCCCCTTCCTCCTCTCTCCCTCTCTCTTTCCTTTTCTCCAGTCTCCCCACTTTCCTCTCTCTTTGCAAACATTTCTGTAGGTAATGTAGTACACTAATTCATTTCTTAGGAACTGTGAAATCTAATGCGGAAATTTAATTCCCAAACAATGAGCACATTTTTAGCCTGGAGAAAGAGCCTTTCCTAAAGTACCTGAAAAGAAAATGGAAGTTCTACTAAACATTTCTTTATATGGGATTTACTTTGTTAAAATATGTGACTATATTTAAAATAATCACCAAAAAACAATCACTATCTGTTTTTAAAATCCAATTGCTTTTAATATGACATAACTATATATTATGTTCATGTGATTTTCATGAAAATACTTAAAATTTAAAATGATTAGTAATTATAGAATGTCTGTTTTCTTTCAGATCAACTATATGACTTATGTCATTCTTTAAATACAGATATACTACTTTTAAATCAAGGCTTTCAGGAGTTCCATTTAATTGTACCTGGTTTAGACTTATGGTTGAGTTTTCCATGCTATTTTTATTTATTTTTGATAGTGATGTTTAGTTTATCATATAATTATATCAAGTTATAATCTTTGTGCATGTTTATAGTTTCATCTTTTTAAATGTAACAAAATGCAACTTTCTGAATTAAGAAACAGCCATGGTATCATAAGCAAGTTGCTGGAATTTTGAAGACACCTAAAGAACTTTCAACCTATGAAACAGCTCTGATTTTAGCTTTTTTGTGCTAGTGACAAAATTTACAAGTACAAAGTCTGAGGTCAGAGGTGTTGATATCTGAAACAGAAATTGTAGCTGCAAAATCAGCATGGGCTAGTGTTTTGTAAAGTGTGAGGCAGAGAAAGGTTAGTTTAGATCTTAGTAATGAGCAGAACATTGAGACTGACTGACATGATTCATTTTCTAGAGAGGAAGGAATGTTTTGATATTCAGTCACAGACAGAGAAGAGAAAAGACCCCAACACTAAGATGCTATGGATGCAATTTAACTTACAGATTCCCAAACTTCTATACCAACTGTCAAGGAGACATGGAGGAAGCTAGCACATATTTGACATTTCCTGTGCTACAACAATGGTCTCACTGTTGTGAACCAACATACTGCAATAGAAATTTCAGTGATGCTGTCAACCCTTTGTATCTTTACCTTTTAATATGGTGAGCTCAGCAACATTTTGCTACAGAACAGAGAAAGCAAATTTTGAATTATTTATTTATTTGCAGTTACAGAGTCCTCATGACCAGTAGCTACAATACTGCACAGTACAGTTCTAGCTCATATCATATAAAATTCTTGCCAACTACCAGGAACAATGACTAAAACCAATAATGACTAAGGGATAAGGGTACTCTGATATTTATTTAATTGAATTTTAAGAAATATTATCAGGTGGTTAAATTGCAAAGATTCTTTTTTATCAGAAGTTAAAATACCCTTTTGTAAAGAGTTTTAAATCTTTTGGTAGTCTGTCATATAACATTTTTTCATTTCCTTAAATATTTAGATCAGCATTATAGCACTATTTCTTTATAATATTTACCAGAGATGAATGTTTTTAATATTGTTGATGGAAAGACATTGTAATATTGCTTTCTCAGCCTGGGGTAGCAGATTTCTAAATGACCATTATGAACACTATTATATCAGAAAAATATTCTAATGAAAGTTCTAACTATGGTGATAAATATTTGGAGAAGTTCAGTTACAATTTCTGCAATGCATCCTTGCAAAGAATTTCAAATATGTAACCAGTCTACAAAAATGCTTACTGCCTAGTGCCTCCATAGCTGATTCTGCTCTCAAAGCATGTGTCAAGGTTTAAATGTCCATGGAATTTTAGGCATTTGGTGAAAGTGAGTACTACCCTATATAATATTTAATTATCATGCTAATATGTTCATATTATAGCAGAGTGGTCGAAAACTTGCATTTATTATCTGAACCTTGTATAGATTTAAAACAATCTGTCAGTTTCCTGCTTGGGTGTTTCTTATTTGTAGAATCATGAAAGATGTTTTAAAATGGAGACCTAAGTCAACTCTTTAGAAACTTTTTGGACTTGGTCATACTCTTTTGGGTGGACAGGATCAGAAGAGAAACTTTTTGTTTGACAAAAGTTTGGACCTCATTCCTGCTGGGTAAGCATTTTAAGTCACCCCCCCCCCACCCCAACAACATTTGTAAACATTTGCAAAGATCCTTCTCCCTAATTTCAACACTCAAACTAAAATGTGTGAGTTGAAAGTGAAGGCAAGACCAAAAAAACATCAAGAATGGAAAACTAATTATACAAATAATATTTCAAGGATACTGTTGAGTAGTATACATATTATCTATTATATTTCTCATAAATAAGGCCTTATTAAAAAAGACAACTAACAACTGTGTTCGTAGACACAGTTCTAAAATTGATTCTCTACATGCCTTTTAGTGCCCCAGTAATGTAACCACCTGCTTTATTGATTAATCTGTTTTCTCACAAGAAGTCCTAATCTCACTCAGCAGTCATTGTTCTGTGTGGAGAAAGTGTGACCTTTTTTTAAGGGAATCCATCTTCAATATTCTAGAAAATTTCGTATTTAATACCTGAATGTCTGAAAGAATTGTTTTCATTCAGAAAAATGTTACTTTTGACTTCTGATTGCTAAAAGCCTCCTCAATTTATCATGTATTGATTTACAAGGAATAACTATCCTTTTGCTACGAAATTCTCAATAACACTAATAATTAGAGTGGTATTGGTGTAATGAACTTGAGTAAACCGCATCATCTGTCTTCATCAACTATCAGCTCAAAATTTGTTTCATTATTCTCTATTTCAGTCTACATTCACCATAGTTTGCTTTGAAGCTGATCACAAATATAATATATTTTCATCTGATTATAATTTGGTGGGCAGTCTTTTAATGATTAATAACTTTTAACTATAAAAGTTAACCATGTCTAAAAAGTTGTTTACACCTGCAAAGTCATTATTCTTCTATTATTTTCAAAAATAATTTTCACATTTGCTTTTGTCATGAATTTTTATCTTTTCCAGTACTTAAAACAGACCTCAAATAAGGTCCCTATCTTGTGATTGGTTGGTTTGCTTCTTTTCCTTTAGTCTACAAATATATACTTGTTTTTCCTTATTTGCTGATAAAACAGCAAAACAGCATTGTTTGGTGCTCTGAGTATTTCATACTCTAAATTTGCTGATGCATTTCTGTGAAGATGTTTAAGAAACTCCTTTGTCCTCTGCTAAATTATTAAGGTGATCATATTCATATTCATTTGTGGAGCAGATACTGATTCCTTTTTTGTAATTTCTATTAGTACATGATTATAAAAATTGGTTTTTGTTATGACATTTTCATGCATGCATATAACATGTTTTTCTTCTGACTTTGTGATGTCAGATGTTAATGCTCACTGTTTCTTCCATACATGTATTCATATGGCTTGCAAAATACTGATATAATTCTTTTTGTTTCTGCTTAATTGGGAGGAATTCTTCCAGGAAGATAGAAAGGTTTTTTTTCTTGGAGGTTTAATTTCTAGAAGATAATCAATATAATTGTTTATTCCCCCTTTTCAGTTGTACATGTAATGAACTGCTCTCAATGTCTTCTGATGGTGATCACTGTCCTACAATGTCACTAACATTCAGTTCACTGGTATCGGGTGTTCTGGCTTTCACACCTTTGTCTGAGATTTTTTAGTGTTTGCCTTTGAAGGAAACAAGATTCTGAAAGCTCTTATGATGCCCAAAATGATAAAATTTGACACAGTTATGTTAAACATTTCCTTTACCTAACTTGAGATCAGTCAACAATCCAAGAAGTTGTAATTATTTGTCTAGGAAATGGCCCCTGAATATGATATTCTTGAAGCGAGGGGGAAGCTTTTACAGTTGGCGTGACACTTAATCTGGGACTATCCAAAGGAAATACCTGGAATTCATGTGCTTTTAAAGTTTTATTTTATCTTTGCAATGTTGGGATGGAACCTGGTTCCTCACAAATGTCAAGCAAGCATAGTACCCCTAAACCACACCTATAACCCTTCTTATTATTCTTTAAAATAAACACATCAGAAATTTACAGTATTTCTTCAACTTAATATGTATTCAAGCCAATATGTTTTAATTTAGTACAATGTTTGTGGAATAACATACTTACAGAGATAGAGAACATGCTAGTGGTCACTCAGGGCAAGGAAGAAGAGAGCTAATGAGATAGAATTAGACGTATATAGAGTTAGGAAATTAAAAGTAATGATTCACTTAAGTGTTTGGCTTAGGCCAGCTGTTACTCAGAGCTAGGCATGTGATCAAATTACACAGAGCTCCACATACATTCGCCAGTACAAATAGGAGCATGTATAACTGGAGAAGGCTCATTGGATTAAACCAGTTTCAAATTT